TAAAAGAAAAATGATGCCAGATAGAAGATCTGTGGCTGTGAATTTTATATAGCTTCTACAAGTTCTCTTGTTACCGATTCTGGGTGATGATTTTACTCTCTGCATTAGACAAGCAGCAGAAAACCCTAAATACTGACACCCACCCCCCCTTTCTCTCTTCCTTACATCTAGCCACAAAGCTCCTTCATTTTTCCTTGTAATGATTCTTGAACACATTGTTATCATTATATTTAATACAAATTGTCTTTCCTCTAGTTTAGACTCTTTAGGACCTCAGCATGTGACTATGTTTGGAGACAGGGTCTTTAAAGAGATAATGAAGTTAAAGTGAGGTCATTAGGGTAGGCCCTAATCTGCTGTAATTGGTGTCCGTATAAGAGATTTGGGCCCAAACTGTACAGAGGGAGGGCAGTGTGAAGATCGAGGGCGAGAGCAGCCATCAGCAGCCAAGGCGGGAGGTTTCGGAAGAGACGACCCTGCCGACACCTTGATCTTGCACTTTCAGCACACCTGAACTGTGAGGAGATTGATTCCTGCTGTTTAAGCCATCCAGTCTGTGATTTGTACTTTGTTAAGTTGGCCTGAGTGGCCTTATATAATATTCCAAAGTAACAGGTCCTTTTGCCAATCAGGTGGTTTTTAGTTTTTGATTTCAATGATATTGAAAGAAAATCTAACTTAATTGTCTGCACATTGATTATTTAAAATAATTTTGGGGGTAGATATTTATGTGATTTTGGCAAGTATCTTGAAAGGAGCTCAAAGATTGATTACTACTTGATATTGTAATAACCAAATCTTCTCAATTCCTCCCTACTTATTGGTAGAAGAATGTTTTCTGAGTTTACATGTATAGAAACAAAAAATAGGAAATAATATTTAATCTTCTAATTCTAGCAAAAAACAATACTTATCTATAACTAATTTAAGAGTCATCTCACTAAGGGATAGTATTATATCATGTTTAATAGTCTTAAAATTTTTGAAAACATTTTTAATGTTGCTTTGATTATTGTGCACTATTATTTGTAAAGTCAACTTAAAAATTAATGTAGGCTGATGATCACAGAAAATTTTTTAAAAATTAAATTTTAATTTATAATTTTGTTTCTACTGTAAAGAAGAAATGTTAATAAAATTGTCAAGCTAAAATATATAACAGCATTATGTATAAATTTACATAAACACATAACAGAAGGTAAAAGTTTAAAATACATAACAGAAGGTAAAATTTAGTGTAAACCTACGCTTTAAGAAGATACAGAAAAAAAGCAAAACACTGAGAAATTTGAAGACCTTATTTCAGTGTTTTCTAAATTCATTTCAATGTTAAATTACTATGCTATTTACATTCCATTGAAAACATTTAACAAAGTAATATAATCATTTTATTTTAAAAGATCAGTATTTACTACACCCTGGAACTTAACATTATTTACAACTTTTTATAATTAGGGTAGAAATTTTGGATGGTAATTTAAAATTATGGCAGAGGGTGCATGCAATCTTACAAAATTCTCTTAGATATACAACAAGTAAAAAGGTTTGAAGAAACTGGCTTAGATTTGATAACTAAAAATGAAATTGCAGGTTCATAAAATACTTAGTTTCAACTTTACAAAATAATGCCAGACTGAACTCACATACATCAGCATGTTGCAGTGAGTTTTTTCCCCATATCTTCACAAACATTCTCTTTTTTTGACTGATATGGATGGGTATACATGAGTGTCTTATTGTTCTTTTAGTTTGCATTTCTCTAATTACTAGTTAGGCTGAGCATCTTTTCATGTGTTTATTACCCATATGAGTTTCCCTTACTGTAGAGTGCCTACTCAAACTTTTGCCCATATGTTTTTGAGTTGTTTGTGTTGTTTTTTTAATTGCTTTGAAGGAATTCTCAATATATTCTCAATATCCTGGTTGTTAACTGTTTTTTGAGTTATAAGTGTAGAGGATATTTTCTTCCAGTTCATGACTTGTACTTTAATTTTCTTCATAGAAGCGATATGTGATAAATACATGTTTCAGTCATTTCTTTTGCATCTTATCTAAGAACACTTTTCTTACATCAAAGTCATAAAAATTGTATTCTCTTCTAAAAGTGTCCTTTTCACATTTTCTTACAAAACAGACCCGGGGTGGGGGGCGAATGATATACTTTTACTGAATGGACCCATCCTTGTGCTTTGGGGTCTTCTCCCCTGTACTACTAGGTTTGCCTTGCCCGCCACCAGGGAAGGATGTCTCTCAATGCCAGAGACTGGTGAAAAGGAAAGGATTATTTATTTAAAAAGTTATACAGACTTAGAGTAGTGACTTAATATCTTCACTAAAAGTACTAAAGTCCTTTAGAATACCCACAGACACACAGTCCTCCCTTCTCCCCTTCACCCAGTCCTGGGTACTGTATCTCAGAAAAAGAAGTAGAGGTTTGTGGTTCAGGCAACTCCTCGGTTGGTTCCAGCACTGTCAGCTGTGTCACTGCCACAATCCCCAGTTAATCCAAAACCACGTGGCACCTTCTCATGGCCCACCAGCAAGAGTCCTTTCACCCCTTTTCTTCTGGGCCAAGTCTCTCCTGCTTCCTAAGTCACATGGCAAGAAGGACGCACCCTAAAGCTGCATGGTTCCAACTTTCACCAAAGCCATGTGGCTGCGGCACCTGGGTTTAAATCCCAGCACCAATCCTCCTCTGCAGCCCCATTTCCAACTCCTCCCACAATCAGTTACACCTGCCAGCATTCCTGTATTCTTCCAGGTTTACTGGGCTGCCATCATAGGTCAGACCGTTGTGGCCTTGTGGTATAGACCTAATCATCTTCAGGCTCTCACGCAGGTGCTGTACCCAGAGGGAGTTGCCTCCCAGTCACAACTTGGGTGGAAGTCACTTCCATCCCCCTGGCTCAAAGCATGGCCACAGGTATTTAATATATCTATGAAGCCAGTTAAAGGTTATAGATATGTTAAATGATCATTCTAGGGGTCAGCTGCAAAACCGTTGCTATTCAAAACAGCTCTGAATGGCCCTGCTCCATGTATCCCATATATATAAATATATATATATATATATATACATATATACATATATATATATATACATATATATTTCTTTAATATTTCCTGGACACCCTGAGTTCTGGACCCCATTACAAATCTCCATTCGCCCCCCCCCACACACACCTTGGCTGTACCCTGTTATAATTTAACACTTAAATCAACCTGAAATTGGTTTTTATGCTTGATATATATGAATGTAATTTAATTTTTTTTGCGCCATGGATGTAAGCAACTATTATAGCACCAATTATTGAAAATACCATCCTTTACCCATTTATTTAAAGGTCTAACTGTGTAAGTCAACTTTCCTTATATGTGTAAGTATGTATCTGGGTTCTCTATTAGTTCATAGACTAACTTGCTGCTTTCTATGTGGCAGAAAGAGTTCATCAAGCCCACTTCCTCTTAGGCACACCTTTCCATCACATTTCCCAGCCTCTTTTGTAATTAATTGGATGGGGCCATATGACTGAGTTCTACAATACATGGGATGTAGACAAAGTCATGTCCATCACTTTCCCACCTGGCCTCCGAGTCCCCTACGAGATCCTTCAGTCCTTTTCCCTTATCTTTGGCAGATGCATAGGATCCAGTGGAGATTTGTGAGTCCCAAGTCAATTGCAGAGTATAGGCAGTAGTCAGGGGTTTTGAGTATCTGCATGATACTCCTCTCAGCTCATCACCATGTACCCTTCCCTCATATGCCACCAATAGTCCTTGGACTCTTATTATTGTCACTTGTTTAAAGCAATATAGATCATTGAAAACTGAATGTAATAGACTTGAGATTTTTATACTTGTACATCCTTCCACTATGCAAATAGAAAAACTGTCTATAGTGCAACATGAAGCTGACCCCGATTCGGATATAGATCATTGGAGAAACAGATTTAGGAGACTGAATCCATTACTATAAAATGCTACCTTTCTATTAACAAAAGGAAACTAAGGTATCTTGTTATTTCAGGAGGCTCTCGAATATTCTGGTTGACATAAGTAACAGATCACTCCCTTTTGAGATAGCTAGGGCACAGATCACACCTTTTTGTGTGTGTGGTTTTTTTGAAGGTATATGAAAAAGTGACGCCCATTGCCTAAGATAAGCATGAAAGGTGCCAGGACCGAAATGCATGTCTTAAACATTTGGACTTATTATTCTAAGCACAGCCATGCTCTGGTGAATAGGAAATATTGCCAATACCATAGTTTCTTCCTTCTTTCTATCTGATAAAAAACACATTAAGAATTGTTTTTTGAACTTATTAGAGGCAAATGTTTCTGACATTGTTTCCGCAGCCTTTCCTTCCGCAGCCATGTTCTCTGTGCTGCCTTATGCCTTTCAAGGCAGCATGGTGAACAGTCCCTGCATTTGGTTTTATACTCTGGTTCTGCTGCATAACTTGGTGGCTTCAGGCAGGTTACTTAACATCTCTGTGTCTGGTCATGTCCCTATCAAACGTAGATGACAGTAGTTTCATTTTACAGGGCTCTCGTGAGGAATGAGAACTTATATAAAGCATCTAGAACAGTGCCGGCCAGTTAGCAAGTCTCATTAAATGTGTACCAGGCAGGGAGAGGAATCTGAGCTCATAACCAAAAAGATAAAACATTCAGTTCGATAAATAACAGGGAAATTAGATGTGTTGTTCAAATAGAATGTTGTGATAAAAATAAATATGTATACTGGTCTCTCAATTCGATATATTTGCATTTGGTCATTAAAAAAACTATAGAAAAAGCCTTTACATATGAGGTTTTATTTTTTTAAGGGTGGTTGCCAAAGGAGCTTTATAGGAAGACATTATATAAAATGTATTTGAAAAATTATGAAGCAAAGCACTCAGAGGGGATAGATGTTTTGTCATTTTCCCTCAAATACTGTCAAATATATTTTAGGGTGATCTTGAATAAACACAGAAAAGATAAAGAGGACAAAAGAATTAAAAATATATGATGCTTTATTGTCAAAAATAGACAAACTTTAATTTCCTTTAACAGAAATATTAACTTAAGAGTCTCCATAAGCCATCATCACCACTTTGTGAGCATAACAGACAAGAGTCAAGGACAACTGTTAAGAGGACAAGGGACAACAGTTCGACATCCTGCCAGAGAAGCCTGGCCCTCAGAATCACAGGCACCTTTTAGAGCCCTAAGAATAGACATGCAAAACAGGGTTGACTTGCACTGGCCCAGGCCTAGAGATGGCTTTATGATTTAAATAGTGAAGCTTTAGGTCACTCATGGGATCAGTAACAGGATCAACCTGCTTCTGAGTTACACCAGGATGAAGCCATCTGCCCCTACCGCCCTCACGTCTGTCAAGTGGAGCTAATAGCTTGGGTGGCCAATCTGAGTAAGCTCCTTATCCCTAACCTAGAGTAAGGATGTTAAGGTCTTGTAGAAATGAACATTGTAGTGTGGAGGCTACATCCTCTCATTGGCTTAAAAAGGATAACGATCTAGGTAGTAGGGGCAAGAAAAAATTAAGGCCTTTATTGTTCCCAAGGGACAGGTTTGCAAGGCTGAAGAAAGCTGGGTGGGTGAACTGGTTAACTAGGCCAGGTTCTCATTCTCTAGTCTGTAGTAACAGACACATCTTAATAGTGAAAGATGGTAGTCTGCAGTTATCTCCTTTGAAGATCTGGGTAAAGGAGAGATACCTGAGAGATCCCGGGAGAGGCTAGGGATAACACTGAGTAGTCAGAAGGTTCATCTGAGATTAGTGAGAAGAGGCTAGATCATCAGAAAGTGACGAGATCTGAGAACTCATGTCCTATTCCTGTACACATTCACGTAATGGAAGAGTAATCAACTATAGGTAAAATAACAGTTCAACACTTTCCATTTTTTCTAGTTTAAAGATATCATTCAATACTTGAGAATTAGAAAAACTGAATTTGTACTATACCATAAAGCTATTTAAAACAATACTGTGGTTACTCAAATGGCAGCTCAAGATTTTGCCACCTCTTTAGAACAGAAGAGCAGAGAGAATAGAAGAAAACAGTGAAGCATTCTGTTCTCCTGGTGACATTTCTATTCACTCTTGCATGGGGTTTAGTTTTAATGATGCTCACCCACTTAATTCTATCCTCTTGTAAAAGAACTCTTCAAATTGAAATAGAGGCAGGAAATTGGTGGTTTGGGCTTCTGGAAGTTTTGATGGACTAAGCATCACTCATTGTGATTGACAGGATCAATCTGAAAAACTTACAAAGAGCCATACAAAAATAAAACTAAGCAAAGTTGGTTTACTAGTGCATTAGCAAGACTACATGGAAAACTTTGTGGAGTCAAATACAAAACTAAAGTGCATTGCTCCTTTCCCTTCCTTATTCCATGCCATTCCATTCTGTAAAGAAAAAAAAAAGTGATAGAATGCAGACACTGGGGTCGTTTCTCAAAAGCCACAAAATAACAGGTTGCTGAGACTACGAAATACAGAAGATGAACTTGATTTGGGGTTTCTTGTTGAGAACAAGCAGGGCAAACTACAATGACCGTAACTGAGCAGCTGCAAGAGTTTTATTACCCAATCATAAAAGGACCTTTTTAAATGTTTCCCTTCAGCACTCTTCAATGACTGTTGTTCCAATCAGGGAGTAAAGCTTTTTCTTAACAAGACGAAATCCTGAGCTCAGGATCATGGTTCGTCTGAGGCTGGATGAGAAGCGACTTCGACTAAAGAAAAAGTCCCTGAAGCTGGTCCATGAGCAGTTCTCCTGCTTAAACACCAGTGTCAGCTCAAAAGTAGGCACCACACTTGAGTCACACACTATCTTATCCAGCTTTATACATACATTTCCAACTTCCATGATCACGTTCATAACACAGCCTCGCAGGCCACAGGGCTCTGTGGAGGAGAGGCGAAGGACATCTTGAGCAATTCTCTGGGTCAGTTTCTCAGGGACAAGGACTTTTGAACAACCCAGTTTGGTTTGCTTTGATTGGGACAGGCAGTTCTCTAGCATTTTAACCAAACTCTGGCAAGTGGTCTCCTCAAATATCACCTCACTGAGGTTGGGTTCAGGAACAACATAATCCCAGTAGTCCAAATCTGTAGGAAAAAAAGTTTCAAATTAAAAGAAATCCAGGAGCAGGAAAACTACACCAAGATAGAGACATTGGTTATGTTTATCTACCTCATCTACCTGTTTTTATTATTTCTTTGGGAGCCAGCTGATCTCACTCTGCTATGAACTAGTGGGGTAATAGAGTAAACAAACCATTTGATGTGTCATTGATGAAATAAAGGTTTTGATAAATGGGGTGGATAGGATATAACCGTTTTTCTTTAATTTATCTGTATACACACACACACCATTTGAAGACTATGTATCAAAAATCTCTATGGTTATCCTACATTATCAGTGATTTTCTTTAATTTCTTGCTCCCTTACTTGCTTATGAAGATTTTCTATTTGTTTTACAGAGAACATGTATTACTTCTGGAATAAAAATTATATATATATATATATATATATATATATATATATATATATATATTAACCTAAGGAACTGTTACCTTCTAACTCTAAGAATATACGAGTTAGCCGTGACTGGTGTGGCTCAGTGGGTTGGGCATCATTTCATAAACTGAAAGGTCACCAGTTCAATTCTCCATCCAAGCGCACGCCTGGGTTGTGCGCTAGGTCCCTGGTTGGGGGTGTGAAAGAGGCAACTAACTGATGTTTCTCTCCCCCTCTTTCTCCCTCCCATCCCCTCTCCCTAAAAGTAAATAAATAAAATCTTTTGAAAAAGAACATATGAGTTTATTGCTGTAAAATACCAAATTTTTGCTACTGTTCTTAAGTGATAAACTTGAATCTGAGAAGCTATATTAAATATCTATTACATTTGTTTCTTTCTTTAAAAGTCTTTACTGGAATTGGCCTGTAATTTCCAATTTTAGCTTCAATTTCTTTGATTAAAAATTGCTCAAAGAAGACCTTTGAGGTTCACCAGGATATTTATAACTGGCTGGGTAGTTTTCCACAGCCAAGCAAAACAAAATAGTCTTAGGAAAACAAAATTAGATTTGCTCAAAGGAAAAGAGATAGGTCTGCATTTGGTCACCTACCTTCCAAATTAATCCTACCACTTGGCAAGGTGCCACACACACAGTCAACTGAGCAGGGTGCAGGTAGAGGTCCTGTGGCTCCTCCCTCCCTTAAGCCGACTTCACCCTCATTGGCTGTTGTGGTTTTCTCTGTCCATATCACATATTCACTTAGATCATTGTGTGTGTGTGTGTGTGTGTGTGTGTTTAAAATAACTAAATATAACAAATGCATTCCAAATTATGAGGCTCCATATGTGGAAGATAAAGAATTTTAAAGAGTTGGCCTACAAAATTAGATCATTAACCACTTTGCCTTCTAAATGAGGAAGGCCCAAATATCTTCGGCGATTTGTCTCTGCCCACACAACTCCTCAGTGGCAGAGCAAGGTGTTAACTTAGAAACTGCTGTTTAAAATTGTAAATGACAGTGTGTCCAGCATCACTTCTGTTTTAAAATTCCCCTCTGGCATTATAAAGGGAATGATGGGTATATCCTCAAATAGAATACTACACAGCAATAAAAATGAAACATACAGATACATGCAACACCATGGATGGATCTCAAAATAATTAAGCTGCAGGGAAGAAATCAGCTACAAAAGAGTACCGATTATGATTCCATTTACACGAAAATCTAGAGGCAAAAGTAAACGGGGAGAAGGAGAGTGGGGAGTTGACGGCCAATAGGTACATGGGAATTTGGTGGGAGGGGTTCATGGCAATGATTACAAGGGTGATTACATTTGTTGAAACACACATAACGGTATACTTAAAATTCACCAAAACTTAAAACCATGTAGGGTGAGGAAGTTGCACAACTTTTCATCCTGAAGAATCTATTAGCAGACTAGACCTATACAACCCTCGTTTTTTTTTTTTTTTTTTTTGCCACTTTTGTTTCTCACCATCATGAATAGAAGATGCTAGAAAATTTGGAAAGCAGTTTCCTCAGGTGGATTTTCTGACACCTCCAGTGAGGAAAGTGGTGACTCCGCACACCCGCCCATCCACCCGATCCGATCTATGGAGGGGCTGCAACCTTCGGAGGGGAGAGAGGCGGGCAGCTAGGAAACTCACCATTTAGCAGGCTCCTCGGGTAGAAGCCAGGGTCCACCAACTCTGAAATGCTGCCCGGGTTCTTACTGCTCAAACTGCCAGTTGCAACCATGGTCAACGGCTCCGTTTCCCTCGCGGGACAGAACGACCTGGGACGCTGGAAAAAGTAGGCAATAAGGACAGACTTGCAAGAGCCGCCAAGTCGTGAAGAGGATCCTAAAATGCCCTGTGTACCTCGAGCGAACTAGCCGAGAACTCAGTTTCCAAAGGGAAACAATCGGTCCCTGCAACTCATGTCGGCAGTCTCGCGAGCGGAGACGCCGACTAAGCCAGGACCTGAAACTCATTGAAACTTAGAAAAACTTGGAGCGGACTTGCCCCGCGGAGCTCACCACCGATCCCTCTGACCCCCTCCCGCCACGGATCGGGCAGCGGATGCCCCAGCCACTGTTCACTCTGCATCCCGTCCACTGTCTCTCACCAGCCGGGAGTTCTCTGAGGCCGACGCGCTAGCAACGCAGAGGGGTAAAATGAGGCAGGCACTCTCCTCCGAGCCTCCTCCCTCGGGAGCTCTCTGACTTGCAGACCCCACCAGTGATCCACAATCTGTTCAGCACCGGCCCACCTGGCACCCGCTGGACTGAACTGCACGGCCTCCCGGGCAGCGAGCATTTTATAGGCCCCGCCGCCGCACTCGGCCGGCCCGCCCCGCCTACCTGCGCCGCGCGTCCCCGCCCCTGCGCGCCGCCCTGCCCCTGGTGGGGTTGCGTTTCAAGCCCGACAGTTCAGGCCGCCCTATGCGAGCTGCTGGGAGTTGAGGACGAGGTTGTCGCACTGTTGATATTTGAGGTTTCCCGGGTGGGCCACGGGCCACTGTGACCGCAATTCCGAGTGTACGACTCGCCCAAAACTGACCACTCTCCTCTGCCACCAACTTGGATTCCTTGGTGCGACCCCTCCCCTAGCGCGCGTGCGCGCACTCACGCTAGTGGTTCCCTTGCTGCGAGTCTGTCTCGGGCTGCGGCAAGTTTCTGCCCTTTGTCTATTGCTATGGCCTGAGGCGTTTCTGTGTCACGTTGAACTCTTTGCTTAACTCTGTTTCTGTGTTCAATGAGCATCATTTGCACTTAGTTCTGGCCTCTATCCAAGTCAACTCTACCCCAGGTCCCTGGGTTTTTGTGTCCTTCGCTCCTGAACGCGGTCAGATCTAGTTTTCCTTTCCGGCAGCGAAGGCTCTCCAACATTTTCGTCTACCTTCTGCATTCCCGGACTCTCGGCACTCTTCGTGCTGTTTTCATCTATGACTAATGCGTTTTCTCTGCGGGAAGGGTGAGCCTGGTACTCTTCTGATTAGACCTGGCTCCTGAGCGCCGGGAGATTGAATGAAGTGGAGTCTGCCAAAAAAACTAAACAAAACCATTAGTGGGATGTTAGCTGCCTCCTCCACCCGCCTGGTCGCAAGGAGCAAATGGCATTCCCAGAGGCAGAAGTTCCAAGCGAACCTGCCAGGGGGAGGATTTGGGCTTGGGCGTTCTTGAAGGGGGGGTTGGGCAACGAAGATAGTTTTATATCCCCTTAGGGATACTCCTGTGAGGCCTAATGCGCAGTCCTGACCTTGAGCCCTCAGAGGAACAGAGGAGCTCAGGAAAGAGCCCACAGGCAAGAAAAGAAGCCAAACGTGTTTTCTTCCAAAATTTCTAAGCCACCCTTGTCCCACGTTGCTGTGCCAGTAGGAGATGGTCTGTTCAGAATGGCCATTCCCAAAGACCTTAATGGGTCTAGGGAAGGGAAGGGCGGGGACGCCTGGAGGGAGAGACTGTTTGAAGAAGCAGGAAGTTTTAGTGTTGGCTCCCAGTCTCTAGGATTACTTCGTCACTGGTACAAGGATCTGCAGGTTAGGACCTTGAAAGACAGTTTCAGCTGTCCAGGCTAAAAACTCAGTAGGAAAAACAACAGAAGGGATAAGGAGACTGTGATAAACAGATCAGTGGGAGGACATTTGGAGGCAGAGCAGCAGAAATTAAAGCCAGCTTGACAATCCATTTTTAACTCCCCTCAGGCAGCTGTACTGCCTGAAGGTCAGGCCAGCCAAGGAAGGAGAGGCTGATAGGCTGGTCTTTGAAAGCAGATTTCTACTTCCCTTTCAATAATAAAAAGGTGGAAAATACAAAAACCCCATCTAAGCCGATTAAGAATCAGTTTTCGTGGCTGTTGGGTTCAGGACTAATTGATACATGCCTCTGGTCAGATCTCAGATGTCAGCTCCCTGGCAGTGGGAATCCGGGTGGGTGGGTGGGTGCAGGCAGACCCTCCTTTCCTTTATGGGGGGGGAGGGGGGCAGTATTAATGAGACTCCTTGCGTCCAAGGAGAGTTATTAGGATTAATAATTTAGGATTAATGAGTGGTCCGAACATGTACGGTGAAATAAAGAAATTGCCCATTTCAATTTCCTTAGGGTATTTAGGCATAACTCATAAATTAAGCATTCCCAAAGGGCCAGGAAGATTACTAGACCTTTAGAAAACAGCAGTTACTCTCAGCTCACCTAACTAAAATTTTGCAAAGCCCTTTGGGATTTCACTGCAAAAAATAACTTACGTATATTACAAAAGACTTTAAATACTATCATTCTTTTGCCAAATGAGTCCTGCTCTCAGGAAGTACAGGGCATAAGACATGATTGCTGAAGAACACATCTGAAATAATTAGTGGGACTTGTCCTTTTTTATCTACTTAAAAGGATAAAAAAATTCCATTTTGTTGCCACCAGTTTGTATCTTTGCAGTGTTATATAAACAGAGCTGATTTTCAAAAAGGAAGCACTCAGCAGACTTAGGGAAAATGAAGTGCCATAATAGCATTGTCATGAGATGACAGTCTTTTGGATTTTTAAAATGATGTGGATACAGTTAATTATTTATAACTAAAAGTTCATCACCTTGGTGTGCTTCAGGTATTTATCAGGTGCAGCGATAAGTACATTTCATTCCTATTTTATTATATCCTTTATAGTTAATACTTAAAAAATAGTTCATGAGGGTACTTGCTTAGGAATAATAGTTGCATATGAAGAGAAAACCTAATTGATTAAATAATTGGCTTGTCTCTAATATACTGATATGTTATAGCAAACTGCAAAGATCATAAGCATGCTTGCTTTTTTCTTACTATGATTTACTCATTATTCTTACAAAAATGAAATAGTAGCAAATGACAACAGTATATTTATCTGGTATATATACAAATATTTAAGTTCCAGGTTTCCTCATGTATAAATATTATATTCATAATATTATTGCTTACATCAAGTATAAATTCACAATCAAAGATATTTCAAAAAATTAAAAAATGGTGCTTTAATGTGTATAGGGAATACTGGTGTCTTCTGTATGCATGATTTGGAGTGTTGAATATTTATCACATGTTTTACCAGCCGATTTTCTCTCTTTACCCAGTATGAGCCATTGTTCACGAGCTCTTAGTAATACATTTACATTCAGTGCATTGTTTATTTCATTTCATAAATTATGACAACAAAGGAAAAATGACTTTCTTAATCTGTACAGTGGATTCTGGGAGGATTTACAGGACATGAAAGTTAATTTGTACAACATCTAAAGACCCTTAGCAAGCTGATAGAGTTGTTGTGAGGATTAAAATAGATTCTAATCAACGCCAAAATCTTTTTTTTGTTGTCCATTCTCTTCCCCCCACCAATCTCCGTTTCCTTGCCCATCTTCACCCCCCACCCTTGATCCTACCCGGCTGTGGCTTTCTCTATGTATCCTTTGTACATGTGCCTTGACGGCCCCTCTTCTTCCCTACATTATCCCCCTTCCTGGTCCCCTCTGATTACTGTCAATTTGTTCTTGATTTCAATGTCTTCTCCGGTTCTATTTTGCTTGCTTGTTTGTTTTGTTGATTAGGTTCCACTTATAGGTGAGATCATTTGGTATTTGTCTTCCACTGCCTGGCTTATTTCACTTAGTATAATGCTCTCCAGTTCCATCCAAGCTGTTGCAAAGGGTAGGAGGAGTTCCTCCTTTCTGCTGTGTAGTATTCCATTGTGTAATGTACCACAGTCTTTGATCCACTCATTTATTGATGGGCACTTCGGTTACTTCCAACATTTGGCTATTTTAAATTGTGCTGCCATGAACATTGGGGTGCATAGGTTCTTTTGGATTGGTGTTTCAGGGTTCTTAGGGTATAATCCCAGCAGTGGAATTACCAGGGCAAAAAGCAGTTCCATTTTTATTTTTCTGAGGCAATTCCATTCTGTTTTCCAAAGTGGCTGCACCAGTCTGTGTTCCCACTAACAGTGCACTAGTGTTCCCATTTCTTCACATCCTCTTTGACACTTGTTTGTTGATTTGTTTATGATGGTCATTCTGACCAGTGTGAAGTGGTATCTCACTGTGGTTTTAATTTGCATCTCTCTGATGGCCAGTGATGCTGAGCATCCTTTCATATGTTTCTGGGCCCTCTGTATGTCCTTGGAGAAGTGTCTGTCCAGGTCCTTTGCCGATTTTTTAATTGGATTATTTATCTTTCTGGTGTGGGGTGTATGAGTTCTTTATATATTTTGGAGATCAAACGCTTGTCCGAGGTATCATTGGTAAATATATTCTCCTATACGTTTGGTTCCCTTTTCATTTTCCTGATGTTTTCTTTTGCCGTGTAGAAGTTTTTTTTTTTTTTTTTAATTTGATGAAGTCCCATTAGTTTATTCTTTTCCTTTATATCTCTTGCTCTAGGGAACATATTGGTGAAAATATTGCTGCATGGAATATTTGAAATTTTCTTGCCTATTTTCTCCTCTAGAAGTTTTGTGGTGTTGCCACTTATATTTAAGTTTTTAAAATCCATTTTGAGATTATTTTTGTGTATGGTGTAAGTTGGTGGTCGAGTTTCATTTTTTTTGCATGTAGTTGCCCAGGTCTCCCAACACTATTTGGTGGAGAGACTATTTTTACTCCATTTTGTGCTTCTGTTCCCTTTATTGAATATTAACGAACCATAGAGACTTGGGTTTACTTTTGGGCTCTATTTCATTCCACTGATCTACATGTCTGTTCTTATGCCAGTACCAGGCTGTTTTGATTACAGTGGCCTTGTAATACAGTTTGATACCAGGTATTGTGATCCTTCCTACTTTGTTCTTCTTTTTCAAAATTGCAGCTGCTATTCGGGGTCGTTTATGGTTCCATATAAATTTTTGAAGTATGTGTGCTATGTCTGTGAAATATGCCATTGGTATTTTAACAGGGATTGTGTTGAATCCAAGTATCTTTTTTAATAAACAAGTCTGAGCTCTTTAAATGTGCATTGTTGATGGCTTTCCTTGTGTATCTAGTGCTCATGTGAAGTCTTAGAACGGGGCCTGGTACACAGCAAGTGTTTAATGAGTGATACTTATTATTATTGCTCTGAAATTATAGTTCTCTGGTTGAGTGCAGCAAGCACTAAAGGGACTAAGGGAGTTGTGTGAGTATTATTAAAGTAGAATGAACATTTTGGTCTTTCCTGTTTGCAGGAAATCTGGAAAGTATTTGCCACTGATTGGGAAAGACTTTTTATTCTAACGCATAAGTAACTGCATGGGAGAGCAGGTGGGAGCTCTCTCAATGTAAGAGAATAATGTATGTAATTTATGAAAAATAATGT